GGAGATACCATTTGCTGTCCTGCCTCCTACTTCAGATACAAGGCACAGCCTTACAAAAAGGACTGGAACGGGCCCCGAGGCGGCTGCATCTGCGTGGATGGTATGCGTCCCTGACCAGGTTGGTCTTTGGGAGGGACACATTTCAGGAGTGCCTGAAGGACGCAGGAACAATCAGCACAAGCACACTTTGGTTTCTTTCTTTTTTTTTTTTTTTTTTTGAGACAGAGCCTCAAGCTGTCCCCCTGGGTAGAGTACGGTGGCATTACAGCTCTCAGCAACCTCCAACTCCTGGGCTCAAGCAAGTCTCCTGCCTCAGCCTCCCAAGTAGCTGGGACCACAGGCGCCCGCCACAACACCTGGCTATTTTTTGGTTGCAGCCGTCATTGTTGTTTTGGCGGGTCCGGGCTGGGGATTCGAACCCGCCACCTTAGGTGTACGTGGCTGGCGCCTTAGCCGGTTGAGCTATAGGTCCTGAGCCACACTTTGGTTTCTTGAGCTGGACTTTTCTAATGGATTCGCAACTACTGCCGTGGAAAGAATGTCTCAAGGCAGGCCAGGAATCTGAACTTCTGTTGAAATCACCCCAAGCTTTCAAATCCCAGTAACTAACTGAAACATTTCTGAAACACTGTTGAGTAAAATGAGTCTGTCCTCAGCCAGTCTCCAACCGCAGGGGTTATAAATTCCCAAGTCTGAAGCTGACTCCCCCTCCCATCTCTGCGAGGTGTCTAGGGGATACATGACTAATAATTACTCTTCATAGAAATACAAGTGATACTTTGGGGATGCATAAGGAGGAAAAAATGTTGGGATAAAAACATTCCACTAAAACTCCACTATCAATTCAATGGCAGTTATGCAATTATGATAAAATCCATTTTAAATGAGTCAAATGAGAAAATTGCTAATTGCTGGGTTAGATTCTCTAGTCATTCACTGCAACAGTCTAAGAACAGAAGGTAAGCTCCTGGATAGTCACATGGGTTTCTGTAAACTCTCAAACATACTAGAAATGCTTCCAGGTAAACTGAGTCAAAGAGAAGAAAGGAAAACTGAACTGAGCACCTCCAAGCTCACCTTTTGCCAAGGCCACAGAATCGAAAACCTTTACTCAGAGAACAAAGTTTAAGGGTGTCTTTCAAACTGGCTTAGGCAGGGAACAGGATGGGAAGACAGACATTGGGTGTTAGACTTGGTCATAGAATTGGAGCCAGTCTATTCTGTTTGAACAGACCCACCTCACTGGTCAACTATTCTGCCAAGGAAATTTCGCATCTCTACTACTGTTGTGCACAAGGTGCTATTAGGCCAAATTTGGAAGGAACTTATAACCCAATCTCTAGAATGATCTGAGTCCAGATGTTAACAGCACCATTAAGAATAATTGTTTCAGCATTTTTAGATAACTGAAACAAACAACTGATGTTAGAAAAGCCGTCACCAGCCCGACACATGCCCACCACGGAGCTGATGGTGCAGCGTGGGGCAGAGGATTCAGGGATCTGGTTCAGGAGACCCACTTCTCTCATTAGGTAGTGCAGGTGAAGAGCTCTGCCCTGGTTTCCACGCCTGTGAAACGAGAGTGCTGACCCATCAAGGCTCCCTTCCAGCTTCAGCATTGTGAGGAGACTGAACTGAGTTATCAGGTCAGTCAACAGAAGGGTCTCCCCACTCAGGAGCAAGCGGTTTCTCCTTTTCTCTTTCATGTACCAACATACATCTGGCCAAGGATTCCTTCCCCTAAACAGCGTGGCTAATGGGATCGGGGAACTTGAAAGGAGGTTGCTAGTTTTTAATAATGCTGGGAATTCTAAATGGGCAAGAGGTTAAATAATCAAAAGGAAATCGGGGGTTATTTCCCTATCTGTATGCTTCAGGTTGCCTTTATGTCCAGTAAGTACGTAGCTTCAAGACTACATAGCACATGCGGGAAGCCAAGATATTTTCCATATTTCTTCTCCCCAATTACCAGGAGGAAAAGTGAGATTTTCCCCCCTACACTGCTTTTGGCAAGATTGCTATTGGCAGCAATTTTAGTCTTGACTCTCCAAACATGTAAGCAAAGCTGAAAGGTGCTATGTTTATTTAATTTTGGCTGCTGGAAAAGGAGTTGAATTACCAAGTTCATTTCACTGAAATGGCTTTCTCAAACTCCATCACAAGTAGCCACAGAGATTCTGAATCCTGGGACTGTCCTGCGGCTCTGGGAGCTGTTAAGCCTCCACGCCGCTCACCCCAACAGCTTCTCCTTATGAACCTCAACACTGTCTTCTAAAATAGCTCTAAAGCAGGCCAGGCACAGCGCTCACACCTGTGAGCCAGCATTTTGTGAGACTGAGGCAGGAGGATCTCTTGAGCCCGGAATTCAAGACTAGACTGGGCAATATATAGCAAGACCCAATCTCTACAAAAAATAGAAAAACTAGCCAGGTGTTAGTGGCTACACCTGTAGTCCCAGCTACTCAGGAGGCTGAGGTGGGATGATCATCTGAGCCCAGGAGTTTGAGGTGGCAGTGAGTTTTGATCCCACCACTGCACTACAGCTCAGGCACATTAACTGTTCTCAGGGTCCTCGCCTGTGAAAAGCAGTTACTTCCACTCAAGTTCCATAGGAGGAACTTGGCCATTCGGTCACATGTAACAAGGAAAACAGCAAATACAGTCCTACTTAGGCAACCATGTGACTGTATTACCACAGGAAAACAGAGGGATAGATTCTGGTAACCACCCTCTTTACTGGTCCACCCATCCTTGCTTTCCCCCCACTGAAAGTGGTTAACATCGATGCACTCAAGGAAATGGATACACAGGAGATAAACGCACCATGGGTAACCCACAGGTCTTGGTCCAGCAAGCAGTGTGGCTCGTGCTCTCAGGAGCTCCACGTGGCAACCTGGGCAGCACACAGCTGTAAACCTCTGGGGGGCTGCTGCATACAACTCCAACTGCCCTCCAACACGAGCACTTCAGAGGAGACCAGATCCCCATCTCCAGAGCTGCCACCAAAGCCGCTTCCTTGGAACTTAGCATCATGACAGGAAACTGGAGTGAAGCTGAAACCAGTATGTATTTTGGCCGTATAGTCCTTAAGGAAGGATTCCCTTCTAGAAGTTCTAGATCTGTGAACCGGCTCAAGGCCAGGAAGTGGCTAAGGGCTAGGAGAAATCTACATGTTTAGCAAGAATACTCCATTAGTACTATTTCCAAATTTCATTCTTAACTAGAGAGAAAAGGTAAAACTACAGGCATTCAATAGCATTCATATTCTGCTCTGAATTTTTCCTGCCTTCACCCCCCATCCTCTTCCCCAACCAGCTTTAACACAGAGCCTACACCTTCCCCTATTCCCATTTCCTCTTCCTGGGCTTCCCTTATAATACTTCTCTCTCTTTGCCTGAATAAATCCTGTTCCTCTGTGACCCACTGTCCTTTGTGGAGCCAACTTTAAGTTGACAAATAATGAGTATCTACTGTATGCCAAACTAGGCTAAGAACTGGGGTCGCAAAGACAAGGTTCCTGCCCTCCAGGAGGTACTACAGAGAGGGAGGACCTTAATCCTACAAGTCTTTGAAATTCAGATTCATAATCACCCAAGTTTTAAGTACTTCTGTGCACCAGGCACCATCTTTTCTTGTTTAACTGATTCTCAGACATCAAAACTCTCAAGTCACAAAGTTAAGACAGTAGCTCCCTCTTATCCACAGGGAATAGGTTCCAAGAACACTGCCCCCTACCCCGAGGATGCCTGAAACTGTGGATAGTACTGAACCCTCTATAGCGTGTTTTTCTTATACATGCACAGGCATGGTAAAGTTTAATTTATAAATTATACACAGCAAGAGATTAACAACTAATAATAAAATACAGCAATTATATTGTAATGAAAGTTATAAGAATGTGGTCTCTCAAAATACCTAATTGTACTGTACTCACCCTTGTGTGATATGAGAGAGAATAAAATGCCTGTATGCTAAGATGAGGGTAGGGAATGACGCAAACATGATGACAGAGTGGGAGGCACTGCTGCCTGCTGATGATACAGCAGGAGGAGGACCCGCTGTGGGGATCCTAGACTCCTCAAGCCATGACCATGCTGCTGGCGGAGTGTCAGGAGCACACGATGTGTGTGTGGGGTATGGGTCTGCTGGACAGACACGACTCTCATCCCCGCTGGGACACAGGAGCAGATGATGCAGATGAGCAGTGGAGTGGGGGGCATGTGGGGTATGGGTCTGCTGGACAGACAGGACTCACATCCCAGCTG